CTCGATTATCGTTCGTCGCCTCACTGCGGAATGGGAATCTCGGATTAGGGAAGAGCAGGCCGGTTTTCGCCCAGGGCGTGGCTGTATAGACCATATATTTACTTTGCGGCAGGTGCTAGAGCAGCGCCACGCATACCGCAGACCGACAATAGCTGTGTTCATCGATTTCAAGAGTGCGTTCGATTCAGTCGATCGATCGATTCTGTTCGAAATACTTGCGCGGAAAGGTGTTCCCACGAAATATGTGAACATCCTTCGTGCTCTATACTCGAACACTAGAGGCCGCGTCAGGGTATATGGTGCCCTATCGGATAGCTTTTCGACTACATGTGGCGTTCGACAGGGTTGCCCGATTTCCCCGTTTTTGTTCAATTTCGTCGTGGATTCTATCATGGAGTGTTCCCTTGCGGAATCTCACGATGTAGGTGTTGAAGTGCTGCCTGGTGAACGGTTAGTTGATCTCGATTATGCGAACGATATCGTCTTGCTTTTCGACAATGTTGAGACGGCACAATCAACCCTGAATAGCCTGTCCAGAGTGGTCCCATTATTTGGTATGCACTTCGCACCTTCAAAGTGCAAAGTGTTGCTGCAGGACCATCAGCCACTCGATGACCCCTTGACGCTTGCTAACGAGGAACTCGAGGTGGTTGATCAATTCACATATCTTGGCAGCTGCATCAGCAATGATGGGCGCATAGAAACTGACGTGAGCTCACGCATTGCAAAGGCCAGAGCTGCCTTCTTGAACCTGCGTCATCTTTGGCGACAGAAGGGAGTTTCCCTCCGTCTGAAAGGCCGTGTATACAAGGCCACAGTGAGGGCCGTTCTGCTCTATGGTAGTGAAACTTGGCCCCTTCGGTCTGAGATCTGAGGCGCCTTCAAGTCTTTGATCATCGTTGTTTGCGAAGCATTGCTGGTGTCGGATGGCACTAGCGTGTCCGCAACGATGATGTGCGTAGGCGAGTACTAGGTAGTCATAATTACGTTGTTCCCTAGAACAACAGATAGCACTGAATAAGTTGCGTTGGCTCGGGCACTTGCTACGCATGCCTGGTCACCGCTTACCTAGGAGGGCCTTGTTCAGTCTACCGGGTGTAGGATGGCGCAAGGCTCGAGGTGGACAGAAGTTGACTTGGCAGCGGGAAATGAAGTCACTGACGACCAAACTGGGTGCCGTTGGTCCGTCTCGCCTTCCGGGTTGGAGTCCACGTGACTCACCTTGTGCTTGGCTCGAGACTTTACAGGACATGGCTCGCAACCGACACCAGTGGCGCGTCTGCTGCTGTCTCCTAATCGGTTGTTTGTTTAAAGTGTGTTTGGTGCTGAGTTATCTGCGGGGTAATGGCTGATTATGACGCGTGGCAGTGAAAGCCGCAAGGAAGCTGTCTCGCCGATGCCGCCTTATCTTTGCACGATAGCCATCTGTTTGTGACGGTATGTTGTTAACACAAGGTGTAGGCGCCTTGACCCAGAATGTTTGCTTAAGGCATTAAGGTTTTCAGATAAGTCCCCCTTCTCTCCCTCTTCTTATTCTTTATTTCATAGGTCCTCATGGTTGTATGGCAGCGAAGCATCAGTTCAAATGGCTGATGTACTGCTGTTGATGATGATGATGATCTGCACTGTAAAATTTTAACCCTTACCAATCACCTGGCCCCGATAATGTGCATCTTGCCATTATCAAGCCGATTGACGACATATTCCAGCTTCCTATCTTCAAGTTGTATAACTTGTCCCTTCTTGTGGGGAGGATACCCCAGGATTGGAAGGAAGCAGTTGTAGCGTGACCCATAAGGGTAGTACTAAATCTTCACCAAATAACTACAGGCCTGTTAGTCTTACTAGCGTTCACGTGTCTATAGAAGATCATTTGGAATCGAATCTGTGAACATCTTGCTGCTAATAACTTGATCGGAGCAGAAGAGCATGGCTTCGTCAAGAGAAAGTCATCCTTTACCAACCTACTGTGGTTCCTCGATGAAATAACTCCTTATCTTGATGAAGGTATACCGATAGAAGTATGTTAACTTGACTTAAGTAAAGCTTTGATTCGGTGAATCACCGATTATTCTTATTAAACATGACCTAGTGACGTTACTTCGAGCACAGATACTGCTCATAGTAGACTTCCCCAGGGATCAGTACTCGGTCCGTTGCTATTATCATGTTTATAAATGTCTTTGTCCCCCTACTTGAGGACTTCTGCTACCTGTTTGCTGACAATTTGAAGCTTGTCAGCAGGGCATGCAGGGCTTCCTTATCTAGATTTTACTACCGTTCTTAATTAGTCACCTTTGTGGGACTTACCCCTGAACACCAGCAAATGTCAAATCCTATCCCCGCGTGCTGAAGAGTTTACTGTACATGTATCTACTGAGTCCCTAATACTGCAGCATGTCATCAACGCACCCGGTCTAGCTGTCATCGTGACGAGTGACTTTAAGCCCTCGGCGCAGTGCATGCATTCGGCTAATAAAACGTGACAGGAGTTATTTCGTCTCAGGAGAGTTCTGAGTCGTATCAAGCCGGAGGTCTTTCTTCCCTTGTTCAAAGCTGTGGTCAGACCACATCTGAAATACTGTATTCAGGCCTGGGTGTCATGCCTGCAGAAAGATATTACTCGTATTGAGAATGTGAACAGACTAGCCACTCGAATGATAGGTCAGCGTGGGCTATCGTATGAAGATCAGTTGCTAACTTAGCTTTGTTTTAAATCTGAAGACGCAGATTGAGAGGTGACTTAATAGAGACGCTCAAAATCATGAAGGGTCACCGATCTGTTTGAACCAGCGACATCTGACAACTTACGAGGCCATTGCATAAGATTGAAGCAGCATAGATCTAGGCTAGAGTTAAGAGCCAGGTTTTTCGCAAACCGGGTTGTGTCTAGTTGGAATAAACTTCCTTCTACTCTACTGCGATGTGCAACTATCGAGGAATTTAAGCATAGCCTAGATAAACATTGGCTGGGCCTGTTCCCAGAACTTCCTTGCGATTTAGTGACTACCACTAATCATGCTACTTCATGAAAATCTGTTGGCCGTCTTGCACTTGTTTCTGTTTTTTCTGTTATAGAATCAAGTATGTTATATCAAGTCGCAGCGTTGGGGGGCTTTCTCACTTACTGGCACACGAAACGGGACGCTCGTTAAGCGGAAGCTTGTTTCGTCCCTAGATCCTATCCTGTCCTGATCGGATTCTTGGAGTCCGTGGAAAGGAAGCGCGTGAGGTCCATTACAACTTGCTCGGCGTAGTGCTTATTGTGTCGTTTGCATGACGAAGGAGCAGCTACAATAAAAGGTAGTAGTTGTCTTACTCAAACATGAGCTGTTTGGAAATTTGGAAGGCTATTTATTCTTGCTGTTGTTTTCGAAAATCTAGAAATTTTGGAATTCCTGTAGAGGACCATGCATTACATAACGCATCGGACTCTCGAATCTACTGATTTCACATCCTTCACGTATTAGAGATCCTCTTCGCGCGGTTTTTTTTAACACATACATAGTGCTACTTTCATAGTTCTTACTTTATAAATCCGTCCTACTCTGTTGATTACAGTGTGGATTTCTGCTGTGTACACGAGGTCGCTGCTGCTGCCCATGATGAGTAACTTACAAGGTGAATAACTCCTGGTCATTTCAATTTATAAGCACTTACTGAAGGAGACATCATACGTAAGAACTAGCGAACAAGCTTGTTTCCGGTGACCCATCAGTATGATAACATTCGACAACAAGGAGACTATAACGGACACATGGAAATTCAATGCGGTGAGTTATTGGCTCGAAGTGGTTACGTGCTTGGTTTAGTAAATATCAAATCGGGAGGAAGTGGGGTGGTCGTTGTCTTCAGTTGAGGCAGTTGGTGGTCAAAATAGACCCGTTGCCTGAATGAATTTTTTTTGCGTTTGTGGGTTCATATTTTAGGGTCAAATAACACTTGCCTCCTTTGTCAGCGGTGGTCACAGGTTACATTCTGTGTTTACAATTTGTCTTGCTCTTGTCGAGCAAGCGGCTATCTTTAAGGACTCGAGAACGATGCTCAGCTTGGTTCTGCAGCGGTTTGAGTGTAACTGACAAGTACAATGCTGTCGTATCTGATGAGTTCTAATCTCCAAATCAGCCCGTACAATGCTTCATTTAATCGAAATGCAAAGTTCTGCGGTACGACTAGGTCGATGTTTCGCCTTTGCTCACCGTCACCAATTATTTGTTGGGAGTAGATGATTGGTTCATTCAACTGCGTGTGTGTACCGCCGTTTTCGGTCTAACGGTCAAGGACGTTACTGCATTAAACCATAGGGTCTATTCAATCAACTATATATTACTCTGCGGGTCGAAGATAGGTACACAGTGCAGCATGACAGCACTCGTTATACAGATGAGAGATCTCGCTACCATGCGTTGGAGACATTGAGAGGCCAGTTGTTTCTGACCAATAGTTATTGCACATTGTCTGCATCTACCAATAGCTCCTAGCCAGCAGTGATGTAATCTGTCAGTTTACGTTACTCCAAAAAACGGCGTTGGTTCTTTTGGGTTTGAAATTCCTACGTTCTTTAGCTATCTGCTTACCACATTACTCTATACGCATTGCCCATGTTTTACCAAATCAAGTGATGTCTAAAGATAGTCATTTTTCGACAGCGAGAGAGCATAAATACGCTGATCAAAATACTGAGTCGGACTGGTGCATTCTATCTTCTTCACTGAAGCTTATCGGATCGGCCACATGATTGCTTAGATCCTTTGCACAGTCACGAAGCCGACGAACTCTTGACTGTAGTCTTCTCTCCCTACATTCTCATTTTACTTAGATTTTCCACCTGGTGTCACTTTTTTCTTTCCTTTTAACCTCCTGGCAATTACTACAGTGTCTAAGGTAACGCTTGTAACGACAATCGGATATATTCTGCTACGATTCCAGGCGTCTGATTTTCGTGGATTCTTGCTTCGATTTCGACAAATGAATCACCTCAGATTGCATTTTGTGTTTCAGCTCATGATTGTGATTTTGTGGTTGCTTGCATTTGCTGACCTGTCTCCTGTCTACGCTACTTCTTCTGTTAATGCTTCTTTAAATGAGGAATACGAGGGTTCGGTCGCTAATGCATCAATCATTGTGTACAACTACTACCTGGATAGCAGAAGTGTGAAGGTATGATCTCTCTTATTGTAAATACCAATTTGGTGGAGGAACTTGTCGTTCGGTTGAATGTAGTTGTCCTTGATTTGATGAAGACCCATCCAATATTGGTTGTTGCAAGACAGAGGGATGGAGTGAATGCATTTTCAGTTCCTTTTGTGATTAACAATATGTGAGCTAACTTACTTGTTTCCATACACGCCTCTAGCATTCTTTACAACGTGAGTCGTACTCTGTGCCCGGTGATTTTTGAACCCCACGACTCCTTGCTCTTAGCGATAGAACTCTCAAGCTTTTCTACGCAGCCGGTCCGTTACAAGCTCCGTGCGGATTCACTGGATTCTTTTGATTTGAGGTTGTTCAGTTCTGTGGACCACCTAAACGTTTGTCGTCAGACTTAATCGGCCCATGCATTTTGCTATCCATGCAGCCCAGCCAATGTATTTCCGGTACAAGTTTCCAAAGGGGTCAGAGTCCGTTGCCATCAAAGCTGAGTCTCCAGATGACACTTGTATGATTTTATCCGCTCAAGGTCTCCAGGTACGGTACTGCCATTGTTCCACCCAGCCTTGTAGTGCCCCGTGAATGATGGCTTGGATACAGCTGGAAATTTTGGTCTTCACCAGACAGTCACTACTCTTGGCACACTCTCAATTAACGTAATTTCGTGTGGCTTAATTCAACTCGTTCTAGAGCGTACAATATAATGATGGCTTCTACATTATTTTGGTGCTGATGGCAACTGATTTCTTATGCACTGGAATGGAGAACCTGACCCCAATTCCTCCTAGTAAGTGTTGTTTTGTGTACTTTTTCCTCTTTATATGATTGTTTTGTTGCTTATAAAGTACTCGCAACATTTGGATGACCTTCCTCACTCAGTTACAACAGCTTCACGTCCACGCTCAAATCAGAGCTTGCCGTTTGAGATTCTTTTGTTAGATTACCCAGAGGTGGTGCAAATTATATTGATCTTGTCATCTAGTTTCCCGCTGTGAACGGGCGTCCATAGTAGAGCCATCGTTTCCCCAAGCATTTGATGGTTACAGCTAGCTATATTTTGGGACGCATGATGCGTTAGGAATGCGTTACCTTCGGTTATGTAATGCGAATTGCCGACGTTGAACACGCTAGTTGGTTTCATTTATTGGAACGGTCAAGGACAGATCGGGCTTCAGTGACTTTTCGGTTGAGTTCTTTGTCCTCCACTCCTACGCTTATCCTTTTCCTCTAACCCTGTTCTTACACTTGATGCGTAACATAAAACAGAACTGTCGCTTTCATTTTATTTTGCTTTTGTACTTATTTTTACTTCCTAATTGAATTGCGGCACAGTAGTTGGGATGTTTCCCACCTCTAGCTAGCGTGTAGAAAGATGTTGATACTGGTGACCAGGCTAGCTGAGCGCTTTACGAAATCATTGGAGCTCTCTCCGATCAGGCAACGCCAATACCTTTTCCATTCGTCAAAACTAGCCATAACTGCGATGCTTATATGTGTAGTTCCGGATTGATTCCATTTCGTTGGGATGCGACAGGTCATTTACATATGCACTTAATCAGTTTGCGCAGCAACGAATTTTTACCCATTAAAAGTATCTCTTGGCTTAGTACCCGAAGCAAGGATGGGTCAAAGAGCGTAAGCAAAGCTGTGAATCTTGTCAACTTCACGGTTCGTAGTCTACATACTCCGATTACTACTTGGTCTTCTTTGTGATCCTCTAAGTGTTCCACGACATTCCAGTTTGGGCTTATTTTCTCCATGATATTGATCACAAAATCCATTTAAGATGTTTCGCTAGATCGTATGCCAAACTCAGCAGATCCTAGTCTTCAGATTATGCTCCTTAGCTGTTACGAAGAGTCAGCGTTCAGGCCGAGAGCAGTGCCGCAACAGTGGATCGTTCCACAATTAAAGATCGAACGCGGATATAGATCAAAATGCGAATCTGTGAGGAATCAACGGCAAGTTGGACCATGAACTTGAACCGTTTGAGTTATGTTTATTAATATTAATTGGCATCTCCAATTTTGTTGTTAGTGGTTTCCTACAACCTATTTATTGCACCATGCTCTCATACAATACGATTCAGAATCAGAATCCGGATCCCTCTTACTGGCTGGTCTTGCTGTTCTCATTTCGTGGCGAGTTTCAACTGGTTTGGGGCGGCACAACAGATTCAGGCAGGTTATCCGTAAAGTCAGCGGAAACACTAAGACATTTCTGGCAACGGTCAGCTGCACGTTAGCAGCAGGTTGGCCGGGCAATCAGCGGTACCACAACATTAGCAACCGCATCATTTACTTTCTCTATATAAATTCTGAAGTAACGGGGTTTTACAAGGTAGTTCATAGTATAACAGACAATTCAAATCTTCTTGATATTACTGGCACCGGGCTAATAAGGCATCAGCAGTATGTCATTACGCAGTGCCGACACTTCGCTGCCGCCTAATCACCACCAGTCGCACGTGGGCTAAGGATACTGTGAAGTACGCCCTACCCCTACGAAGGCTCGAACCCGCGCCGTCAGCTCACCATGCAATCTTGTTACCTTTAGACTACGGGACCGGGCTACTCGCACATAAAGCCGTTAAAAGTTTTTTAGGGGTACAAATCTCATCTACCTGAATGGGTACAGCACCGCGCTCACTTTCATATCATTACTAAATGATATTGCTCAATTGTGTGCGCTTGATTATATAATTCAAAATAGGGATGCTTACGCCGCCGACATTTGATTTCGATACGTTGTTTTGACCGCTCAGTTTCGACTCCACGTTCTTTTCTCGCCTTAAATTTTTTCGCGACTTGTTTTACTGTCCTTCTTCCCGTCATCTCCATACTCATTTCCATCTTATGTAAAAGATTGTAATTTTGTCCATTTCTATTGACACCTTATCGGCTTGAAGTTCCCAACTTCTTGCTCCAAACCTTTACTTCTTGTTCGAATGCTTTCCGTTGCTTACTCTATACCGCACATTGGTGTTCCATCCCCTGGAAATTGTATGTTTCTCATACTTTTCTATCTAGATCGTCATTATAGCACATATCCTATGGATGGGCGCTCTAAAACACTTACACTGACTGCACTTCCAATTCCAAACAGTAAGTGTTTATATCGAATCAGTTTTATCTTGGGCGTAATCGTACTACTTTTCATCCACTTCACGCTTTTTCTGCATGACTTGTACATGGTAAAGTGACCGGAATTTTGCGGCTTGCGCCTCGGGTTCAGATCTCAAGGCATCCGTTGTGATTTTTACTCTTTGATTATCCTACGTTCACTTTGGGAACCAGGTTGCCGTTGTCCGTTCACTTGATCTGTATGCCTTCCGTTGACTTGAGTACCTCATGTATCGTTGAATCACGAGCTGTGAAAAGACACCGTTGCATTGGGCAAAGGTTTTGCTGGTGTTGCGGAGGTTAACCTTCCTTGAGTGACTCATTTGGTTGGGTTATTCTCTTTTTCATTCTTAGCTACCAGATTTTGAGTAGACGTAAGTTTCCGAGAAGCTATGAGGCTGCGAGACATAGTGGTATTATTCTAACCGGTTGTGACAAGATTACTAATTCATTCATCTATTATGCATGTCAGCTGGAGGTTGGAAACACCTCAGCTACTGTGCGGCAATACATAAAGGAAAAGGAAAATAAATACAACAGTTGCATGCCAGCTGAGCTACCAGCAACGGATAGGCATCGTTCCGGTAAGCTACCAGCCGGCACTAGGCAAAGAGAAAAATTATTATGTTTTACGCTACGAAATGTGATCGTAGGTGGAGGGGGAGGCTAAAATGGATGAGGAAGGACAAAGAAACTCACAGCACGAACGCCAATGAGGTCGGCTCCTTGCCATGTCAGCAAGTGTATCCAGCCAAACGTATTCACCGTCTTTCGGACCCCAACCAGGGAGCCGTGACGCTCCAACCGAGGCCAGCTCCGAAGTGAGAGCTTTTATTCCTCTGAACCAAGTCATCGCTTGGCCACCCCTCCTCTTCTTCCATCCACATCCCCGGCGCGCAAACAACGCACGTCGCGGGAGTCGGTGGGCTGGCATGCGCAACACGTGGCCCAGCCATCGGAGCCTGGTGCGTGAAATGACGGTGCTGAGCGGTTCCGTTCCTTTTTCTTTGCCGTAAACAAGGCGTCGAACACACTCGTTACTCACGCGGTGTTCCCACCAGCTAAATTACGAAGGCACCTGTGGTCGAACGTAACTAGCCTCCTTATGTCCGCCGGTCTTAGGGGCCAAGTTTCGCAACCGTACAGTAAGGTCGAACGTACCGCTGCACTGTACACTCTGCCCTTCAGGGCGAGAGTAATGTCGCGCCGCCGCCATAAGTGGCCAAGGTTAGCAAAAGCACTTCGAGCTTTTGCTATACGGTCCGTCATCTCGTCTTTGATCGCAAGGGCGCTGATACAACTTCCCAGGTAGTTGAATTTCTGAACGACTTTTAGCTGATCCCCACCAAGGGTCAGTGCAGGAGGCGATCCCTGCCAATCTTGGAGGAACGCTTTGCACTTCGGTGGTGCAAAGCAAAGCCCGAAGCGGCTGATAGCCAGTGCTAATCTGTCCAGCGCGACTTGACACGTCTGGGAGCTGTCACAGATGAGGGCAATGTCGTCAGCATACTCCAAGTCAAGAAGTCGTTCTTCTGGGAGTAGCTCCACACCTTCCAAGTCATGTCCTGTAAATGCAATCTCCATGACTTCGTTAATAGCGAAGTTGAAGGGGAAATGTGACAGCGGGCCTCCTTGTCTCACACCGCTGGACATATTGAAAGGTGGCGACAGCTTGCTGTGAGCCCTCACTCTGCCCGTGCAACGGGCGTATAATTCTCGGATAATATTTACGTATTTCTCGGGCACACCTTTCCTGAATAGACAATTCCAAAGGGCACATCCATCAACTGAATCGAAGGCACCTTTGTTGTCAAGGAACACTACTAGGGTGGGCCGCCAATATGTGTGACGGTGCTCCAGCAACTGACGCAAGGTGAAGGTGTGGTCGATACAGCCACGACTCCGACGAAACCCGGCTTGCTCCTCACTAATCTGGCTATTTTGACAAAGCTTGTCGAGAAAATCGTGAAGAAAAGATTGTTGCAGTCAAAAGAAGTCCTGATTCCCCCACAGCACGGTTTTATGCAAGGTAGCTCATGCATTACAAACTTGCTTGTGACGAGGCTTGAGTGGTTGCAGGCAATAAGCAAGGAAAGTCTGTTCTACGTGATATTCATCGATTTCACTAAAGCTTTCCACAAGGTCTGCCATGAGGTCTTCCTTCATAAACTCAGGATATGCGGTGTTGGTGGCTCAATGTACTAGTGGATCCGTGACTTTCTTGTTGGACGCAAATGGAGGGTACAGGTCGATGACAATCTTACTGACTGGTATCACTCTACAAATGGCGTACCTCTAGGCTGGACCCATTCAGATTCTAATCCATATCAACGATCAACCTCAACTTCTCCGGTCACCGTGTGCCTTGTTTGTGGACGACATGAAGATTTGGCGAGAAATTGACGCTCCCGATGACTGTGGCATACTTCAACAAGATCACATGGTCTGCAGAAGTTCATCTCCCGGTCAACCCAGCCAAGTCTGTATTTATGAGCTTGGGGAAGAGTGCTGACGGCCGAACCTACACACTTGACGGCCAACCGCTACATCCCATTCCCTCCATGAAAGACCTAAGTGTGCGCTCGCGCTACGATTTTAAGTCCGTGAACAACACGAACAGGCTGTATCTTAACTGACTGCGCATGCTTTGGGCGCTCAAACGAAACTTCGGCACATGGTCTGAAGAGGTTGCCACTCGCCTCTTCTCTTCCATCATTAGACCAATGCTAGAGTACGGTTCGCCCGCATACTTTCCGATTACCCGAGGCAAGGCACGAAAGATCGAACGGGTCCAACACAGTGCTATCAGGCCCATCCCGAGTTTACGTGACTTGGGGTATGAAGACCGGTGCGAGAGACCAGGACACTACACCTTGTCCTACCGTCGGGTGCGAGTCGACCTCATTATGACCTACCGTATTCTACATCTCGGTGAATTCCCCATGCTGAGACCAATGCTACACTTACGAGGGCCATGCAGCACACGCGGACACAGATACAAACTTGTCGTGCAGAATGTGAAACGTGTTCTCCACCCACAGCGCTTTGAACGGAGAGTGGTAAATATGTGGAACAGTTTACCTGAACATGTGGTGGAGGTAACATCTGTGCAGCAATTCAAAGCGTTGTTAGATTTATATTTTACCACTATTCGACTCAGAGAACGATTGCACACTTACGATGACATCTCACATTTGTGAGTCCTGCAATACCGTGAGTCCGCTATTTTATATGTTGTATGAGAACGTTAACGATATTCACGCGTGACAGTTTTATGGCGTTTTGCACCATATTTCGAAGGAGTTGTACATAATTCTACTTGCTCTTTACTACAGTATTCAGTATTGTAAAGAATACTGGTGATGGCATCTACGGAAACCGTGTGATAGTCATCATGCGCTGACCTTACAGCAGTCTCATTTCCACTCCACTGTCTAATAATGCACCTGCTGAGTACGAACTAAGGGCAAAAGCAGAAATTCCACCGCGTTTATTTTTATCAGCGCTTCAGAAGGCATAACAAGGCCATTACACAATACTCAACAAAAACGGAGCTAACAATGGAACACCTGACAACAGAAAGCAGCCAAAGGCCGGCGCACTTGTGAATGGTGCGTCAGTATGCATATAAACAAACACCACGGCATTCCTCAGGTTTCAGGTGCTTTTCTTATGCAACGTAATGTCTATACTGGTTGAAAATCTACATCTATCTGAATACTGTATTATAGAGCAAGTAGAAATGGATTCTGTACAACTCTTTCGAAATATGGCGAAAAACGTTATAAAAGTTGTCAACCGTGGATATCATCGTCGTTCTCATGTAATATTTAAAATATTCGACTTACGATATTTCAGGATTCACAAATGTGATATGTCATCGTAAGTGTGCAGTCGTTCTCTGTATCGAATAGAGGCAAAATACAAATCTAACAACGTTTTGAACTGTTGCACAGATGTTGCCTCAATCACATGTTCGGGCAAACTGTTCCAAATGTTTACCACTCTCCGTTCGAAGCACAGTGGGTGGGGAACACATTTCACATCCGGCACAACAAGTTTGTATCTGTGTCCGCGTGTGCTGCATGGCCCTCGTAAGTGCAGCATTGACCTTAGCATGGGGAACTCACCGAGATGTAGAATACGGTAGGTCATAATGAGGTCGACTCGCACCCGACGGTAGGACAAGGTGTAGAGTCCTAGTTTCTCGCACCGGTCTTCATACCCAAATCCACATAATTTCGGGATGAGCCTGGGATCAACGTGTTGGACCCGTTCGGTCTTTTGTGCCTCGCCTCTGGTAATCGGAAAGTATGCGGGCGAACCGTACTCTAGCATTGGTCTAATGATGGAAGAGAAGAGGCGAGTGGCAACCTCTTCAGACCATGTGCCGAAGTTTCGTTTGAGCGCCCAAAGCATGCGCAGTCCGTTCCGATATAGCCTGTTCGTGTTGTCCACGGACTTCAAATCGTAGCGTGAGAGTACCCATAGATCCTTCACGGAGGGTGTGGGATATAGCGTTTGGCCGTCAAGAATGTAGGTTCGGCCGTTAGCATTCTTCCCCAGGCTCATAAATACAGACTTGGCTGGGTTGACCGGGAGAACTTCTGCAGACTATGTGGATAAGCGGTTGAGATCTTGCTGAAGTAAGCCACAGTCATCGGGAGCGTCGATTTCTCTCCAAATCTTCATGTCGTCCGCAAACAAGGCACAAGGCGACCGGAGAAGCTGCGGTAGATTGTTGATGTGGATCAGGAACAGAGTGGGCCCCAGCACAGTGCCTTGAGGCACGCCACTTGTAGTGGGGTACCAGTCAGTTAGATGGTCGTCGACCTGTACTCTCCACTTTCGTCCAACAAGAAAGTCGCGGATCCACCGGTGCAGTGAGCCACCGACGCCACACATGCTGAGTTTGTGAAGGAGAACCTCATGACTGACCTTGTCGAAGGCTTTACTGAAATCGATGAATATCACGTCGACGG